CCGGATTGTGGAGGAGGTACCTCCCCCCATTTCAACAGTCCCAGTTATGTATCACCGGGGAAAATAAGAGTAAAACTTTCCGGCAACAATGAAACATAAAAATGCTAACGATGGAATAGCACTTTATTATAAACTTAGGTCGGTAGGGCGAATTCTGGAAATCCAAAAATTGCACCCGAATAATCGGAAGCCTAGGACTTAACTTATTAACAATGTTGCATGTATCATATAAATAATAAAATATAACAATAATTAGCACAATTCTGAGCATGAGTGACAGATGGCTTAGATAGAATAACTCATGACATGTTGAGTAAATCGATTAAATTGAGACATTTTGAGTTACATGATAATTAGCATAATTAAAGTCTTTCAGGTTTTAAAAAGTAATTACAATTGATTAAAAGTATATTTCAAAGTTCAGCTAAAACATGCCACTAAAATTGTTTTTATCAAACATTACACCGTGATATATGTTTTATATGGAAATTTATACCCTATCCCCGATAGGGGATGAGGTTTCACGTTTGAATCTGTAAATATTTAGAGAAAACGTATTAAAACGAAAAAAAGAAAAACAAGAAATTCTACAGAACTGTCCCAGCCACTGCAGATGTTATCAGAGTTATACAAGAATATTATTACCTGTCCATCGTTCACATTCTCAGTAAATAGCTTGATAACTTTATAGAAACGGAGAAAAATAACTGTTCAACATATATACACTGTATGACAAAAAGTGCCTTTAACCGAAAGGTCTGACACCTATAACCCAAGGTCACGTAAACAAGATCACAAGAAATGACATCATGTAATTCTACGTGGGGTCGTTACTTTTTTGCAAGTTAAATCTTGACTAAAATTATATGTGTCATCAAAATGACTATGTGTGTTCATTTACCTGATTCAAGTTTCTTTTAGCAAGGTCAATTTTTTATCTTGACCATAAGCTTTTGTAAAAGAAAAAGCATGTAGATGCGTTGTATTGCATGATACTCTGGTGATCGTCGAGGTCTATGGATTTCTTGTGACTAGGGCTAGTCGTCTATTTACACATCTTATCAGTTTATCTTTTTATAATAAATTTACCACATGCAAACTCTGTAAAACAGCTGATGTAATACAACTTTGTAGGTCTATTAAATTTATTTTAAATACGTAATATTTATTGACGTTTGTGAAAACGATGTTTTGTTACATATATCCAACATTCTGGTAAAAACACCCCACATAAAATCATGCTATCTAAGCTATGATGTAGTTTGTTGTACCAGGAAGCCTGCCCTTCGAACAAGTTCATGGTGAGAATTTCTATCTAATCAGTACAAAGATATATAGAAATGTAGATAAATGTGACGTATATATATTTGTGTTTTGTTTTGGGTGAAAGGAAAGTTGTCAAAATCTCAATAATCTGTTTGTTGGCGACGTCAGAAAGTCCGATTATGTATAAAAATATTTTCAAGATCCGATTCCTTTGTCAATCTGGTAAGATATTTTAAGTTATGCAAAATGAAACAAGCACGTCCACTTCACGGATAAGGGAAGTGCCGAAACATACCCGAATACATGTATGTACCAAACATGCACTGCTAACCTGGCACCATTCTAAGCTTACACTGAACACATACTAGTATATTGATTCATATCCATATTTGGTGTAAGTCTGCTTAAAATAAAAATTTATTTTTTGTTTAGTTTTTCATGCGAACTTTGACTCCCGTGTTCATATTCACATGTGCAATGTGCATGATCGAACAAGTATTTTTAGTATTATTATTATCTTTTTTTTATTTTATTTATTTATTTTTTACATTTATGGGATAAATACAAAACGTTACAATCCTAAGGGCTCAGACACACCCTACCAAACAAGAGAGGGCAATCGACTCCAGGTACAAGCAGTGCTACTGTATTTTAGATTATGATTTTTTTTTTATTATTATTATTTTCATGATTAAATATTTTTTTAAGTCAATATTATTTGTAGCTACTTTAATCTTGAAAACAAAATTCTACAAATTTCTTCATATCTGTTCAGAATCGGGCAAGTAAAAAATGAATTCAGACAAGTAACAATTGCTGGCAACTTGTTCAGTGGATATTTCAGTTTTTCGGGGGGGGGGGGGGGTTTCGGTTCCAAAACTTTAACTTATTTTGATTCTTGATCTTTTATATTCTAACTAGTCGAAACACTATTCCTTAAGTTTCAGTAACTTTTTATCCCCCCCCCCGCTTTTTAAATAAGCACAAAGCAGTAGAGCCACAGTCTTGTCAGAGACTCCTCGTTAAAGACACTGAGGCAGGTTAAATTAGTTTTTCCATTTCATCATATGTATTTAAAGAAATATTGATCGAAAAACCTTGGATCAAGCAATGTTTGAATAAGAAACAAAGGGAACAGTTCGGTCCCCATTTAAAAAGACTAAGGAAAATTCGGTTCAAACTGCTTTTATTAAACAAAACAGTCATATTCGGGTCAAGTCACACATATAATCAGGTATCGAAATTCTGAAATTCGAGTCAACAATTAGACAGAGGGTGAAAATGTGTAAAATATGAAAAAAAGGTATGAAAACACTAAAACATACAGCAAATTTCAAAAGGGGAAAGTGTGGCGTTGTTAAAATGGCTGGGTAAATTTTCGAAACGTTACGAAAGTCTCAAATAAGGTCTATTTAAAACAGTTAAAAGATATCCCTATTACTTCGAAATACGAAAATTAATTTAAAAAAAAAACAAATTATAAGCAAAATTCTGATAAGATAGTTTAAAATTTTGTTTTATGTATAACTTTCAAGATGTCCACCGTAAATTTAAGACGTTTTCTCCAGATCAAACTTATTTTTTCGGTCTTCCATCCATATTTCAGGCTGACTTAGCTACAGTTCTACATTATTCTTATGCAGCCTAATACTTCTCTAATAGATCTGCTCTGATCACGGGCTTTGACAATGTTTAACAGAAAAACTATCATGTTGTAAATTTGGACTTTATAGGGCGGCAGCAAACATAAAATTTACAAGAACAAAATTGTATTTCTGCCACAAGATAACGTCAAAATTTGCATGACAGAACAATCAACACGGTTAGTTTTGGTTTTTTTTTTTTTTTTGGGTGTGTATCGGATCCGTAGGAAGTAATTTCTGTTGGAGGGGGTACAACTTGACAAGCCCCCCCCCCCCCAATAAAATAAAAGGTCATCAGTAAACAACAAAAGCTGGGTCCTAACATATATTTGGCCATTCTAAGTTTATTCTGTTTAGCGTCCACGTGCGCCTTGATTAATTTTGGACACCCCATATCAGCAAAAAAACAAACAAAATCTTAAGTCCTGAAATTAATTATGCAGGTCAAAATCTTTAAATTCTGTCAATTTCTCATTGCTATATTACAACCAGTACATATACTAATTTACGACTTTGAAAGTAACTATTTCAAAGTTGTCAACGCTTGATGTGGATTATACCCCCAGACAGACGGTTATGTAGATCTCTGTTTTTTTCTCCTTAGCGACTGTATATACATGTATGAGTAAGGCCATTTCAAGTTTTTCTATGTCTAGCGTCCACCCATCTTTCATCTTTCAAAAATTCGGGAAAAAAACACACACAAGCCAAAAAAATAAAACAAACAAAAAATAATAATAATGAAAATGAAAATAGAATGAAACAAAAAGTCATCAGCAAAATTTATTGGGGAAAAAAACCCAGAGAATAGGGTCACAACATATATTATTCACATATCTAGTCGCTGAGGAGAAAAAATACAGAGGTCTATACATAGGAATGTAATCCACATCAAGCTTGGACAACTTTCAAAGCATGTACTGGTTGCAATATTGCATTGATTTTGACGATTATGCTTGAAATAGTCCTAGGTCCAAGCAGATTAATTAGAACATCAGTAAAATTTGGCAGTATATCAGTTGTGAACATTGAACATTTTCTCCCTTCTTTTCATTCAAAGAAAGGCAACTCAATCCTAATATTATAATTTACATATCTCGTAAATAAAGGTGGGGAAAATGTTTATATTTCTTCCTTATAAAAAAAAAACAACAAATGAGTCAAGATACATAAAAACCTGATACACATACTATTATTCATTAACATAGCATTAATCTGTAGACCTGTATAATGTGCTTACTATTCAGATAATTATTTGAAGAGACGTTCATGCTCAAGAACACCGAACAGCAGACATTAACACATGCACATGATCTACACACATACGCACACACACAAAAACTATGATAGCAACACACACAGAGAGAGAGATTTTATTTCATTATCTTGAAGAAAAAAAAAGACTGAATTTCATACTTGAAAGAAAGTTCAAAATGAATTGTAGTTCACAAAATGATGTGTCTATTTATCGAGATATTTTTTCGTAACAATGTCACACGTGAGATGACCGAATAAGCCGAGGGACAGAAGATCGATAAATAATGTTTTTCGAAAGTTATCTTTCTTATTCCTTGGTATATGTTAAATTAATTTTTTACATGCACTCACATTGAAAACTCCTGTAAAGATGGGCGTCTTTACGTAAACAAAGACTGTAGCATTCTTCTCACGTCATAATTTTCCATAATTTTTTTATGTACAGTTAGGAATTATATCTAGACTTGCATTATCTTCTTACAGTGTATTTTATTTTTTCATTTCGGGGATATCTCCTACATAGTTTTTTGAAGTAAAAATCCTTGCATCAGTGCCGCTACGTAAGCTCAAAACAATAAAAATTATGGTAAATCACAAAAACAATTTTAGACTTGGCTCAAATACGAGTGCAATTTTCTACAGATCTATTTGTGTTTTTCTTACTTCCTTTCTCACTCATCGATTGTAAAGATTGTAAACAATGTGACAGAGAGAGAATTATTCAGCAGAACCAGTTGAATCCAGTTCTGATTAACATTTGGGATAAAAACCAGTTTCAGCCGGAATAAGCGCGTTATTCTCTATAATAAGTTACCAAAGTTTGGAGGTCGTGCACACTAAAAAATTCACCAATATTGGCGATAATGTCCTCCAAATGGCAAACTTAAAGCTGGACCAGCGTCGCCATTCGTGGTGCAGGACTCTTATTTAGCAGTGACTTAACACCGTAAGTGATTGTAAATGCTAGTATTTTGGTTGTTGTCCTGAAATTTTAATTAGTATACATTTCTTCGATAGAACAAGTAGAGTATAGACAATGCACATGCAGATTTCTTGGCCTAGACACATTAAGAATACTGCTTTATTTTATTTTTCGCATGAATGTGTGCATGAATTTGATGAAAGAATATTTTTAAAGTAAAAAGTGGAAAAATTAGTATTTATCTCATGATTGACGAAGCTTGATAAATATCCGAACAAAAAGAAAAACTCCCATTATATTTTTATTTAGACAATTTATTTATAATCCCACTAGAAACAATCTAAGACGGTGTCCTTTATCAACAATAACTTAACAGCTTAATCAGAAATCAACATGGTCAAGTACTTAGCTCAGTAAAAAAAAAAATGAATGAAAGACTTGTTTACAGACGAAAATCTCGATGAACCTCAATCTGTTCATATCGTATTGATCTGTAAATCATTTACTAAAAAAATGAACATTTCAGAGATATTCTTTAGATATCTGTTTAATATATATGTAAACTGAGAGTTTTTTTTATTTTGGAAAAAAAAAATCGATATGGCTAGTGTCCGAAATCTGTGTCACCTTTACCTCTTGGTCACAAACGAGAGAGCTGAGGGCTTAAATGACATTTAGCATGCGCATTGCTTGTAACAGTGTTTTTACCGCAGTTTGCAACCTTAGCAAAATGGTCCGAGATCTCACCAAAAAAGAAGAGTCAGCGATATTTAAAAGCAAAGCTCCCCTTATATATACAAAATTACAATTCTGGTGATATTTATATCAAAGTTTAGAAAGAACAAACTGGCTAAGGTAAATGTTTAGTTTTAAAATGCAGAATTTGTGATTTGTTTTTATATTAATACCTGATAAAATTTACAAAGGGAGTCGGTACACATGGTACAGTACATTACAGTTCATGACGCATACAAGGTCACGCAAACAAGCGGGAACCGGAATTTAAAGTGCGTGTGCAAATTCCACATCATATTGAGGCGCGTAATTGGAATTCTTCCAGTAAGGAAGTAATATCTATCGTTTAAAAATTCAGCTTGCGTTGCGTATAAATAAGCCCCTTTTTAAACAGAGTTATGTGCATAATATGAATGGCTTCACTCTTCGTCTATATCAATCATTGAAAAATATTTGTTTGTAGGCAACTTTAAGATCGATCACGTTGTTCTGTATCCATAGAAACGTTCTTATATTGTGTGTGAAAAACGAGAAAATTATTCCTAATAATATTACCGTAAGTACTGTAGCAGTTATTTCTCTTTATTTTCCGATCAATTAATTTGCCACCAAGCATGCGCAACCTTGCAGTAATACGATCGATCGATACCGATCTGTGCAAAGTTTGCGGCTCAGACAAAGCTGCGATGAAAAAGATGAATTGTTAAACCTCGATCCGAACTAACTAGGGGAGAGCAAGTGAAAAAACATTTTTTTCCAAAAAAATCATACTAAGTTACTAACAGCTTGTATCAGCTGCGAGTATATAAATTCTTAGTATTTTGCACCTCGGGAGCAAGCTCCTATGGTTCAGCAGATTTGCGGGGTCAATGTCCTGTTGGGTCAATAACCGCAAAGAAAACGTTAACAAAATGCAGAACGCCATAAGTTCTCGTTGCCCGTTCCTTGATAAGCCTCGAACTTTACTGTAGTCAATACTGGAGGTAAATATTTTCAAGCGTCAAAGCATGTCACCGAAACACCATCCTTCCGCGTGATCACTTGTACAGTCGAGATATAAAGTAACTGCATTTACTCATGGAATTTTTTTTATTATTTAATACTTTTCTTTTTTGATTATTAATACATTTTGGTTTATTTCATTTCATTTATATATTTTTTTTATAAAACTTTCCATTACGCACTTAAAAAAAATTCCCGATGCTTGTTTTTCTTGATCCATTTTTTGTGTGTTGATTTCAAGTAATCATTTGACTTGGCTATTAAAACAAAAATATTTTTTTTTTTTATTAAATTGCGCTTAAAATTTTCAACATTATAATATCTGTAACGGTTATTTTGGATAATGTACTTCACTAAATAAAAAAAAAAATTCCAAATTTTGTTTAAAATTTAAATTGTACTACGTCACTTGGCCATTTCGATCTATCACTGTTTCAGAAAATGAAATATTCACCAATTTATGTCTTTCATTGAAAGACCGATCTTAAGCTCTAAACTTTCACATTGATACTGGTATTATTATAATTATCAGTCATATATGTTAAATGCAAACTTATGGAGTATCATCAGCTCATATTTTTTTTCTACTTATTTTGTCTTTTTTTTTCTATAAATCTCTTTAGAATATATACATGTATATATTTTTTCAATGTTATGTAATTAATATTTACTTGTAATATGTATAACTTGACCTGTATTGCGGAGAGGACTTGTACAGACAGTGCCTGCTGTCCAATCCAGTTATGTTTAATCATAATAAAATATTGTTTAAATTAAATTAAGCTCTAAATAATTTTATATGAATATTTAGCTTTTTTCAGGAAAAATGTAGAAAGTGTTGCAAATAAAGCGTTAGAGTTAAGATAAATTGCTGTTAAATTTATTTAAAAAAAAAAAAACTGTCCAGAACAATCAGACATAGAATTTTTCATACGATATTTATGAGAAAAATTGTTTTCAAATATGTGTATTTTGATATATTTTTTAGATTGAAATCAAAGTGCAAAATTTAGAGAGAGAGAGAGGGAGAGAAAATTGCCAAGTTTTAAATTGCCCCCCCCCCCGATGGAAATTATACTGATTCTAACTGCAATCAAAAAATTCTCGATATTTATTTTCTTAATTATAATTTAAGTTTATTTTCGAGTCTTGATTTCGAGTAATCATTTGACTTCAAAATGAAAAATGCAATTTTTTTTGTTAAATTGTATTTCAGTCTTTTCTGTAATGAATAATATCATCTTATATGGATAATAATAATATGCTTGACTGAATAAAAAAAAATCGAAAGTTCGGTTAAATTTCAAACATATACATGCATGTAGTACGTCACTTGGCCATGTCACGATATGCCAAATGACATATCACCCCGTTTGAATAAATATCCACCAGTTAATTGCTTGAGAAGGTAAACCACACGAAAATTTTACTTGCAGGATCTTTAAAATATTTCTTGTAAATATGATTTCAACATTAAAAGAGTTGGACCAATCCGTAAATTTTGAATGTACCGGGTGGCCGTAATTGATACAAAATTTTACAATATGACAAGTTGACAACTTTTAAATTATATATATATATATATATATATATATATATATATATATATATATATATATATATATTTATATATATATATATATATATATATATATATATATTTCAGCGAAAATGTAAAAATTGTTTTGGTTGCAATATTTTGAGGTAAAATTTGCTACTAATTAATGTATAATATAAATTAAAATATCTAGATTAATAAAAAAAAATGTCTAGATTTTACGAATTAAACGAATAATAGTATATGTAGAGAATGAAAATCATCGTTCATATTTTTCAAATCAATGGATAAAATTTTCAGTGAGCGTGTCATTTTTAGAAAAGAAATACTGGAAAATTATACTTTGAACAGAAATTGAAACCAAAATGCGAAAATTAACTGGAGGATATATTGTAGTATTGTATACTACATGTACATGTATAAATGAGTGTAACTGTGGGACTGAGGAACACTTGACCAGGGGTTTCACTCCCCAATTTAGGCTCATTTGAGTCATTTTTTGTAATATAATATGTTGTTATTTTATGCTATTTTTGTAAACAGATGGACTGTATTGCCCAAAGTTATATTCTGAATAAACTTGAATATCTCCAATTTTCAATTTGGACAAATTCAGCTGGAAATTGTACCGGTCCTAACCGGAATTCGAAATATGACGTCGCGCACGCTCTTGGTGTCAAAAAGTCTGCAGTAGCATAAAATTTATTCTATTTACATTTAATGGAAACGACTAATATTATAAAAGTTACATACCGTTTAGTCGGTAATTTTACACTCAATGCATTTTAAAATAGATCTAAATACTTGCCATTAGTTTATAGTGCATGTAGACCAGTAAGAAGAGCGTCGCGCACACAGTTGTAAAATGTTGATAATACCTCGTACTAACAATATACAATTTTGCGGAAAAATTTAAATTATGACGTTATTACAACTGTGGAGTTAATCAGTCCGTATACTGCTGGAAAATGCCAAAGATATAGATATGCGTTGGGGAAATAGAGCATGACTGATTGACCATGACATGTCAATGGATCTTAAGGAAAGTACTGGATAATCTAAATCAGATTTTGAAATTACATGCCGATTTTCCTTTTGATATGTAAATATTAACTTAATAACTGTATTTTAGAATGGAATGATATATGCCGATTCACTGTAATGATGCGTTACAAAGTTTGGAGGTTCACTGTCACAAAGTTTTAAGTTTTTAACTCAAAATCGGAAGAAAAGGCTAATTTTGTTATATTGAGTAAATAATCGATGTTGATTTTTTTTTCAATTCTATAATAACTTTTTGTATTATCTAAAAATAAATATCTATACTTGAACATGAGATGTAGATCTAGTATAATATTCAGAAAAATAATTGCATTGCACATCACTCCTTACACTATATTATATCAAGGATTTTTTGAGAAGTATATATTTTTAATTTAGATATCTTCTCATACAGAATAAATCAAACTTAGAAAGTAAAATGCCAGTTACTATTCGCACCAATATTTTGGGTATTAAAAATTCTAGCGGTGTTGTTGGTAATTGAATGTTGTACAGTTTGCATTGTTTGATTCAAATATGATTTAAACATTAATTAAATCGTTGATTAATAATTTTGAAATAAGAGGTTCTGACCAACATTTTTCAAAAGCGGACGAGTGACATACCTTACGAGTTACGACATAGAATTTTTCTTATTTTCATTTAACCAAAAAAAAAAGTTCATTTTCTAACATTACCCATAAAACAGTCAAAATCTGAGATGTGAAGTTGAATTGATTCTTTAAGGGATTGATTTAGAGACAACCACGGAGTCGTCCTTGTTCAAACCTTGTAACACTAATTTTATTGGTACATGTACATTGGTAGTAGGATAAATCATCTGTATAGTCATTAAATGAAGAGAAATTTAAAAAAAAAGGATTTTATCAAACATACATCTCTTCAAAAAGTTAATGTTTGTTAATGCGGGAGTATCGGTTGCGACATTGCAGAAAAAAAACCCCGCGGGTTATGTAATTTTTTTTTTCTGCAGTCATTACAACCTTATCCCTGCATTATAAAACAAAGACTGTTAGACATGTTATTGTTTATATCTGTATAAATTATTTGCATGAAGTTTGTGAAAGAACATAAAATACTGTATTATTAAATTAATTTTAATTAAATTATACAATGACCATCTCACCGTTTTTGACATCATGTACATGTAGATATTTATATTATGCATTAATTAACATCAAATTTTAAGCTCTTGGGTGTCTTATTTGCAAACAAAACAATTTTTACAATTTCTCTGAAAAAAATATCGCAAAAAAATCAAAATCATATAAAACCATAAAGTAATTTTAGCTTCGGCATTTTCATGATGAAAAATTTTTCAATAGAGGTATTCTAAAGATCCATAAACAAAATTACTTCGCCAGCACACTTACTGTGTAGGTGGTAAATACAACTGGTATATTTCAATGATTTATACCTAAATATTAAAAGTATTGCATAAATATTTTATTTCAAAGTCTTTCACAGATCAGTCCGTTGTCTCCCGTCTCCTGTGTACAGACTTCGGACTATTAAAAAGATGGAAAAAATATCATCAAAAGACAAATTGAAGGTAAATACAGGAAAAACATATGGAAACATTTTCATTCAATATTTTAACAAAACTTTCAATTTTCTATTTGAGAAATCAATGTAAAAGAAACTGCTTGAGGTTGAATTTATTTTTTTTTTAAAAATCACGAAAAGGAATTTAACAATATTTCCTTATTTTTCCAGAAAAACCTGAGAGCTGCCTTCAGAAAGAAATTACCGGCCGACCAGTACACAACAACTGTAGGATCCTATTGTGAGTGGGACAGGGACGTCGATTTGGGACCACCAGACTTTGTAGAGGAGGCACCAGAAAATGACAAGTACATTTACAACTATTATGATGCCCTGCAGTACTCTCTGTATGAAACAAACTTTCCGGAAACGGTGGACAGAACGGAGGATCCCAGAGATTCCCCACCTACCTCAGGGATTTCCATCGTAGTTATGTCGTCGCCCGTGGAATGCATGGCAATTTTACTGGAGGGTGGTCGGCAGTGTCCTGGGGATATGCTTCTTGTCATGTCAAAGTCGTGGATCACAGTCGTTCCTAGTGACTTTGACCCCACCATGAATAGCCTTTACGTTCACAAAGCGATATCCTTTGATACGGGAGGGAGGACTTTTATTGACGTCTTCGATCCACCCAGAAGAGTGACATACTTCATGAATTTCTTCACACGGGCCATTACAGAGGGCCAAACTGGTGATGGAGAGGATTTAGAGGTGAATCTCGACTGCCCAATGTCCAGCTCGCTAAAACTGGTCAAAAGAACAGACGACAAGTTGTTTACGCGGATTCTGATGGCTGAAGCAGGTGTAGCCTACCCAGAAACTCTCGCCTTTGGTTACAAAATCCCCTACCCCTACAACGTACCAAACGATGCCAATATTAGGATTCTTAAGATATCGACCAAGGATGGCGTGGATAACGTTATACAGGAGGAAGTTCTATCTTTCTTAAACAGACTTGATGACGGCGTGGACAGGGTATAATATATCTACTTCCTATAATGGCTCTTCAAAATAAACCCATAATGCAACACCGATTCAATCAAACCTGAATTTGTAATAAAAATACTTGCATAGCAATACCATCCTAGTCCCTTCTCAGATCAAATGGTTTTATTGACATTCGGCTTCTAACAAAATAAATTTATGATACTAAATTTGTTTTTATTCTACTTTTAGATTGTAGTGAAACCATCTGGAATAAAGTGGCATGGAAGTATGGGGGTATCATTTCACAACAGGATGGATTCCAAGGGTATTTGTGATGCAGCAATTCTGCTGCTTCAGGCTTTAGACCCCGGAGACGGTCTTTTAGTAGAGGTGTTTTGTGGCCCATGTGAGGAAGGTATATACGATTTGGGACGATGTTAAAAAAAATTAGAATTATCACTAGAAATAGTCATTCTTAAAAATTGATTAAAACCTATTGTTTCTTATTTCTACTTGATAGATAACGCAATGAAGGACTATTCGTTTCGTCTTCGTGCCAATGTCTGTCGAGGACCGGGAGACGTACCATGCACCACCACTCTTATCTGTGGTGTCGGAAAGAAAAATGAACCAATCAACGGCGACAATACTGTGCCACAGTCATTGCAAACGACTATGATCCAGTGGGGTCTAGCGGATGAAACGGAACGCATAGTAGAAACGATTAAAATAGGATCTGAGAAACTCCTCCAACGTGTAATAAACCACGAGAATACGCTTACTTTGGCCGAAAGGGGATGCATAGGAGGGCAGACAGACGTCATAGGTAAGGCATGGACTCCACCAGAATTTCTTGTTAACACAGTTAAGAACTTATTTTAAGTGTTGATCGATAAAACTTTATAATTTCAAATTTAACAGGAATTGACTATTTCCTGAGTAAGAGGGGTGAAAATTACATCCCCTACGGAATAGAGGTCAACAGTCATGACTGTACCATCAACTGTCAACTCTACGAGTTCATAAATCCCTCTCAAACTGGAAAGTCAGTGGCACCCCTGGTGGAAACAATGATAGAAAGATCTCAGAAATTCATGGTCCAGGGTAAAGTTGTTCTCGTTCTAAACTTGGGGGTGAGCAGCAAGAAATTTATACTGGATGCTGCCATCAGGGACAACATTAGGGTATGTTTTAGTTTGTTTTTCTGTACGCAATGTCATCATTAGAATACAGTATTTTTAATTTAAGAAAAAAAAACCCAGAGAAAGTCTGTATATTGTAAGACAGCTAAGAAAGTTTAAAATTAATTTATACAAGGCGGGAAGGGGGGGGGGGGAAGGGGGCAATCATTACATCTTCAGAAAATGAAAATGGTGTATAACTTTTTTTTTTTTGTTTTTTTTTTTTAATTGAATTTTATCAAGTCATTCTAAAGGCATTTAGACTAGGGCATCCCAGTGCATGTTCATGTATGTACTTTGTCAATATTTGATTCGAATGTTCACTCTTGCATATAGATTGTACTATAATGTAGCTCTCTGATTTCATTTAGGTTATTCTCGTTGATACCTTTCCGGAAGAGATGGCTCCCAAAGTCAGCAAGTACATTCGATACGATTTCCTAGACCATACACGAGACGAAGATCATGCTCAAAACATCATTGAGATTCTTCAAAAGCGGGAAATCGTCATTGACGGCTGTGTCACATTCTGGGAAGATTGCGGACCCTTAGCTGCCATCATTAACGACAAAATGGGTCTGATGGGTGCAGGGGTAGACGGAGCAAAGAACGCAAAAAAGAAGTCTAAGACACACCAAACGCTATATAGCCGCACTGGGGACATCCCCCATTTTCCTAGAACACACTTGTACACAGAAAAATGTATTCATGTGGAAAAAAGCGAGGACCTACCATCAGCCGTGGCAGATATAGGCCTCCCTTGCGTATTGAAGCTGGAGTATGGCTCCAGTGCAGTTGGTGTAAAGTTGTGTCACGACTTAGAGGAATGTACCAAATACTTCAACACTCTTCAGGACCAGCTAACCTGCGAGTCTGATTTTCCAGGGATTGGTCTTGGGCACGGAAACAGCATGATGGTCATGAAATGTCTCAAAGGGACAGAACATGATGTAGATTTAGTGATTTACAAACGTAAGCTTATAGCAGCCTTCGTATCGGACAACGGTCCCACACGACCAGGTTCCTTCACAGAAACCGCAGCATGCATGCCATCATGTCTCCGTCCAGATAAAATTGGTCAAATCATTACTGCAGCTTACCAGTGCTGCACGGAGGTAGGATTGATCAACGGTGTCTTTAACGTAGAAATGAAGATGTCACCAACGGGACCGAAACTTATAGAAATCAACGCAAGAATGGGCGGCTTCTACAACCGACACTGGATCCTGAAGTGCTATGGAGTTGATATGGTCAGATGCGCCTTCTTGATAGCCTGTGGAATAAAGCCTGTTCCTCCCAAAGAAAAACCAGCTTGCCATATCATGGGCGTGATGTGCGTACCCTCTCTGCATGCTGAAGTCTTCAAAAGCCAGATTTGGAAGGAGACATTCCAAAATGCCCCCGATATTATATACACTCCTATTGAAGAAGATCTGAGCCATGCAACTTCAGAGACAGAAGAACCAATGTGTAATATTGCCGTTTGTACTGCTAGCAGAGCTTTATCAAAAGAAAAACTTTTGAAAATCTGCGATGCTTTCAAAGTTACAACCGAGGAATACGATGTCCCACACTATGTCTCAGAGTTCAACTGATGGACAAAAATGCTGTTTTTTGTAACATTTTTCATGTTGTATACAATTTAATTGATAGAAAAAATGCTGTTTTTTGTTTGTTTGAACATTTTTCATGTTGTATACATTTTAATACAATTTAATTGATGGACAAAAATGCTGGCTATTTTCTTTTGTTTAAACATTTTTTTATGTTTGAATTTGTATACAATTTTAATTGAAGGACAAAAATGCTGTGTTTTTGTTTGTTTGAACATTTTTCATGTTGTAGACGATTTAATTGAAAGACAAAAATCTTGTTTGTTTGGTTTTGTTTTTTTTTGATTGAACATTTTTTATTCAACATCTTTTTTTTTTTTTTTTATAAAATTTTGACAGAACATTTTTCACGACGTGTACAATTTTACTTAAATACATTAAGGTTGTAGTAGAAACTTGATCATTGCACCTCTAGGATACTTGCTACAAACAAACAAAAATGAATGCATAGATTGATATATTTTTGGACTTATTTCCTAAAATATTAAGAAACTGTCCCATTTTGACCCCCCGCCCCCTTCTTACTCTTTACATTTTTTATTCTCAGTTTTTGGAATTTCTAAAAAGATAAACTTGATTTGGCTAAAGCTGTTCCTTTCACTCATGTCAACAAAGATTTTGTATCTATTTTCATCATTTTTGGTTTAAAAAATTGTTTGTGGCAAGTGGTCATAAAAACAGGGATATACTATAAAAAAAATCATTGAACCATGTATTTGTATTTTGAGACACGGAGATTTAATAAAGTATTTCAAAGTTGTATTCCATTATATTTCTTTCCTACCTGTATATGAAAAAAAATGCCAAAATTTATCTTCCAAGAAGTATTGAACATTGCAGTGAATTTCAAAGACGATATAGATAATAAAACTTAGATAATTTTTGATTTTCCAATTTTTGGCCAAGAAGGCAATAGCATACAAGCTTATTACAATGATAAGATAGAAAGTTCTGAATGAAAGGATATAAACACACACACACACACACACACATATAAGACGTATATGATATAATCCATACAAGTAACTGTAGGTGCAGCAGTTGGGGTTATCAAATTTACATGTGATCATAAACCTGTATTGACAATATATACCAGTATACAAAATGTAATTTTTTTTTATGTTAACAGTACATACGACTAAGTACAATAAATACCCTACAGTCTGTATGTATAAGTATTATAAGCGTACCTGCTGCTACCAAGTTTGGCATTAAAATACATGTATGTGTAAAACTTTTAATCAACCGATGAAGTTCAGGAAAACAGTTTATTCACACTGATGAGCCAGCATTCTCGATTCATGTAGATGACCCTCGGGTCTAGGGTGGTGCTACAGTAGAAAGCAGGGCTACAATTACTGTAGTATTCATAAAGGTATGCATGTATAAGCGTAGAATCAGCTTTGTTCGAACCATGCACCCTGGAATTGGAATGGGCCATAACAGTGGGTTTCACATAGATCTCCAGAAAATAAATAATAAATTCTCTCTCTCTCTCTCTCTCTCTCTCTCTCTACATGTATATGTAATGTAAACAAGGGTAAAATCAGATTTGTTCATCTTGGCCGCGTGAAATGAGTATAATTTTACATGGGAATACTGAATTAAAGAAGAAAAAAAATCTTTGCAAATCTTTTAAGGAACAGCAATGACACAATTCTTAATACATCTACTAGCATTGATATACAAGCATCCTAATTAATACTTTCATGCACAGTAAAATTAATCACACGTAAGGAATGACGATGTAAACCTAAACCAAGAAAATGTGTCGATGATGAATTTCGAACCATTGTGGTTCATGCGTACTTTATTCAAAATTATTGCCATTTTATATTCTTATGATTTAAATTATAGTACAGCCGACTCGTATAGATAGCGTCTCTGTGTGGGTTTAGATTGCTTGCCTTCTTATTTTCATTTAAAAATTCTTAAGTTATTATTTTTCATTCCAACCTACACAATTTAACCATGAGAAGAAGGAACAACCATATGTACAACTGTTGCCATGAATTTCCACAATGACCTTTTTTTGTCCCACAATTTCATTTAAAATTAGTTATTTTTTTTATGTCACGAGTCCCGGTATCTTTACAGTTCTAAGATGTCCAAGATATTTTGTGTACAATACATTTCTTAACCAATTGTTTCAATTTCTTGATCAATTTTTGGTCCAGTGTAGAAATTCTCGTGCATGTGAAAATAACTTAAGTATGATTTCTACAACGTTGGATCTCAGCCAATCATTAAAGCAATCATCTTTTACATTTGCCACCAAAATTGCAACGAACAGGCCAGGGAATACAGTCATGCAATATATATAAGTAAATTAGCAGTTTGAGGCCTTTCTCTCTCTTAATTAATTTTCTTTGTTCTGTTTAAGTAGTCTTCTCATTTTTTTAAAGAAAACTGGTATTGGTGATAAAAGCAAATTGAAATGTCATGTCAGAGTGTATAGCATTCGTTGACAAAGGCGGATCCAGCGCCGGCGCGCCGGGCGCCCCCCCCCCCCCCGTTTGAAATTTTTGTATAAAATCAAGGAAAAACACCTCTTATTTGTTAGAATTCGTCAGCTTCAAGGGGGCTTCGCCCCCGGACCCCCATCAGGGGACCCACTGGGGCTTCAATACAGCCCCCAGACCCCCCTGCCTTCTACTCACCCCCCCCCCCACCCCCGTTGTGAAATTCCTGGATCCGGTTGAAGAGCTACATGTATTGTGCTACTAGATAGCAAACGGGGTTTGTCTGAAGACTGGACAGTTACAGTTGGGATTGGAGGAATATTTAAAATCAATTCAAAGTCTGGAGATGCCTCTAACGGAGAGAGTATATATTTGACACAACTAAAATAAAGATGCATAAAATACAGAAAGAATTTTGGATAATATTTGGAAATTGGACCGACATGTAATAAAAATAAAAGACAATATACATGTATAGCAAACTCCTACCTGAGAATGCATTTTTATTGTTTGAAATGTTTCATTGATGTATATTAACTGTAACAGTGAGAGGATGAAGGCACAAATTAAACTATATTATGAATTTTGGATTGACTATTTGCCGACCTTCCACCTGAAAAATATTTATAGGGATTTCTTTTCCAACGAAATTCTGGTATTCAAATTAAATCTGCAAATGTTGCAATTCAAATTCAAATTTTGGAGGAAATATTAATTGCAGCCGTGTGAAGTTGAGGGCCAACTTTCATTGATTAGTGTTGGATTAATTATTAGCCGAAGGTGGATTTCTTTTCCGTCGAAATACTGTTTATCAAATTTAAATCAAATCTGGAAACGTTCCATTTGTAATTCAAAGTTGGGGATACACGTACATTACCGGAAGTTACGTGATGTTGAGTGTTAGAAGTATTGGAATAACGTATAAATCATTCATGGATTTAAAGTGCAGGTGTACTGCGGAGATTGTGTTTTGGATTAATTAAGATCTACATTGGGTATTTGATATGTAAGGCCAGGTAAAATTAAACTTTAGATTCTCATCCCCGCCCGCCCCTCTCAAAGTGCCCCGCCCCGTTGTTTTTTATTTTGGTTTTTGGGTTTCAAAAGTATTTACATGTATTTTTTACTCAGCAAGAATCTGGGTCAAAATTTAAGAGTTATCTCCCGTCTGTATTAAAAGTCGCGTGGCGCTATTTATAGCACAAAAGTCATGGGAAGAATGGAGAAAAATTGGCAATAAAAGCAGTTTAAATATGTAGGGAAAAGATAATTTGTCAGGATAGAGAAGGCAAAAAAGCAAAAATAACATAAATACATTTAGATACCATCACTGGCATGAGCAAGTTTTTAAAGAGATTTTAACCAAGTAAAAACAGACGAAGAAAATGACATCTGGTCAAGGTATAACTTAATAATAATCGCCAGTTGTATGTGATTTTTTTTTTTTTTTTAAAAAGATCGTCGGCAGACGTTAGAGGATAATAATGCTAAGGAAATAGTAAATCTTAAAACTGTTGAGCATAGGCTTTTCAGTAGAACATTTTACAGTTTTAGACATCCTGTTTTGTATTCTCTATTGAGAAGTTGATGGCTCGTTTAATACTCCCCCTCAACTTCTCTACGAAAGGCCTAATAAAAGCAGTTCAGGAATTGACTAAATGAAGAACCAAAACCGGGTCCCACTTCGATCGGTGTTTTAGGATTGATGCATTATCATAGACATATTTTGGATGCACATATGTTGTTTTGCAATGGAAATGAGATTGAAAATACCGATTCTGCTGACTTAAAAACATTCATCACGGTAGAACACTTACTTGCGATATCTGTGTCACCGGATTCGTTTATTCATTCAAAACTGCGTTTGAACCCGGTTGACCTCTAAAAAAGTCTAAAACTATTTCTCCGGATAACTATTCAACACTGAAACATTTAATCCAATTTATCCGGATAAAAAGTTTTAGACTTTCTTAGAGGTCAACAGGGTACAAACGCAGTTTTGAATGAATAAACGAATCCGGTGACACAGATATCGCAAGTAAGTGTTCTACCGTGATGAATGTTTTTTAAGTCAGCAGAATCGGTATTTTCAATCTCATTTCCATTGCAAAACAACATCTGTGCATCCAAAATATGTTTATGATAATGCATCAATCCTAAAACACCGATCGAAGTGGGACCCGGTTTTGGTTCTTCATTTAGTCAATTTCTGAACTGCTTTTATTAGGCCTTTCGTAGAGAAGTTGAGGGGGAGTATTAAACGAGCCATCAACTTCTCAATAGAGAATACCTGTTTTGCAAAAATGACATATTTTAATGTTGAACGTGTCAAGTCTCAAGAACGAAAGTATGAGGACAGTGGAAATCTGTGATATTTCACACAAAACGAAAGGAGTTGTTGATAAAACTAAAAGGTATTTAGAGAAAGGCTGATGAGAAGTCGTTACTACTACATACAGCATATGCAATTTATTTGGATCCGCACCCTATTTTGTATGGCGTGTGCTGCATCTGTGTACTTGAAAATTCATTAATAAAAACTATAAATATTAATATTC